TGTTAAAATGTGAGGAGATGCAAAAAGCACGTTTTGTTGCAATACGCCAAGAAGAACTGGTGTAAATAAGTATTCCTCCACCTCGGTTTCGGTACGTGCATGGGCCGTCAACCCGATGGTAAATAAATTCTCCAACAGGAACGACTACGCCATCCATTTCTTCATTGAGGCAGGTTCCTTGCAACATAATGATTCCAAGCTGAAAACTCACTTGAGAAAACAATATTTGATGGTTCAATTACTTTCCCCATGAACGAGCGGATGTTGATGCCAAGCAATGGTGGGACGCCCAGATCTCTCAAATCTTTTCTTTCGAACAGCAACTCTCTATTCAGAAGGATGTTTCGTAACGGCATTTTTACAAGTATTTTCAATTTGGTTCGGCTTGTTTCTGATAACAACACCATTTGAAAAGGCACGAATTAAAAGCGTAGAAAAACGTAGCGACTACTGGATTTGACTTATCTTCCTACCTACATTCCTGAGGGTTTTTGGTATCTGTGCTAATTTATACAATTCAAATCGGACAACGTCAGATAAAAGCATATCATTTTTCGTCACTTTCCAGCATTCATTTTCTAGTTGTTTATCTCTCTTCTAACACCGTTGGCCACGACTGGGCCGACCTGCTGTGGTGATGGATAAATGCTTTCAAACAATGTAGCAAACTCATGCAATACGAGTTGTCACGAACTCACTGGCGAATAGTAAAAATGCTAGACTCGAAGCAGCTATATGATGGCCATCTGAGGGAGAGAGGTCAAAATAGGCCCCACATAAATGCATACATAAATATGGATGACGCGTCATCATGATGATGACAAAATTACATATGACAACAGCCAAAAAAGAAGTTAAAAATGAGTCAAAAATTCATTGGCTACCTGCTGTAACGAATCACGCGCAATGCGGATTTTCAGCAAAGCAAATATTCCTATTGCATTCAGATGAATCAAGACCACAAATTATTTCAGGGTTAAGAATTCTTTTCGGTAAACTCTCGTCCGACCCAAACGTTTACATAACACGGATTGCGTGGGATAAGCCTCAACTCGGGCTGGGATTGATTACTAGGATTTTTGAACGGTCAAGATCGATGACTAAATGCGGCTACAGATGGCAAGTAAAGTGTACTAAAGGAAACTTAATACACAAGCTTCAGTAGCCTTAAGTAAATAGGTAAGGTCACGAAGGGAATTAAGTAACCATTTCAGTCGGCCACGGTAATAGTATCCGCCGTATTAATCGCTTTTGTATACATAATTCCGGCTTCAGATGGTGGATGCAAATAACCTCGGCAATAGACAAGATTTGCTTTCGGCAGCCTTGGGAGAAGCGTTCAGGTGGTGAATGGATGACTTTAAAGTCATTCTTAAATGTAGCTTGGCCACTTTCAAGAAGGTGCGACATGATTGAGCTGTCTGAGGATCTCATTTTACATTTGTAAAACCATACCGGGATGTGCTGGCGAATCCTCTGGGACAGACGTCTTGTGTGACTCACGTATCGTGCACCACAGACTCACGATACTGATAAAGGAGCATTAAAATAGCCAACGACGGCAGACTATGTTTCAAGGGTTTTGAAACCAATGGCTTGTTGTGGTAAACAAAGCTCAAGCGGGCTGCGAAAGAAGTTTTATCAACAACATCATTCAGACGTTGAGATAAGATATCTGCTGTATTATGGCCCTTAAATAGCAAATGTATGAGCAGCTATTTTTTGGGAGCAATGCTCCTAGGTAGTTTTCGCTTTGGTTCTTTCAGATGCTTCATGATAAGCTTATCGTAGTAAGCATTTTCACGAAGAACGTCGCTGATTCTCTGCAACTCTTTGTTAACGGTACCCGGAGTGCAAATACTGCGCGCTCTAAAGAAAAGAGATCGGATTAAAATCCTCTTGTGCTGTAAAGACACCCCGCAATGCGTTGGAAATTAATCTTAGTCCGATTTGACGCCACACAATCAGTGTCATGTAAACGTTTGGGTCTGACGAGAGCTTACCGAAAAGAATTCTTAACCCTGAAATGATATTTGGTCTTGATTCATCTACTTGCTTTAAGCCAAAACAGCACCTGACCAAATGAGATCTGTAAGTGAAGGGTGGAAGCAGATCTCCGGGAGACGGTTTCATGAAGCAACATAGTAGTTTCTTGAACTGACGGATCCATCTAATTTTATTCCTACTCTCAGCTTCGCCAGACTTTAGCACTTTTAAACGATTGAACACCTCAAACACTCCTTGAGAACACGAAAGATTTTCGAAAAACCTCTCTACTATCCGACTGTTGTACCAATTGATCAGGCTAGTATGTTGTTTGCGTCTGGCATGTCGAGAAATATACCGTTTAGTTATTTAATTATTTATCTATTCAGGATGTGGTAATAGGCCTCTGAGACTACGAATTCAGCCATTTGACTTGAAAAGCGTAGTTATAAGTTCCTCCGAAAACACAGACAGCAGTGATCTTTGACGTCTAGACGAAAAATACACTCAAACCCTGATCAGTGATGTAAAGTGACCTAATAAACCCCTAATAGTTAGAAGCAGAGTGACATCTTAGAAGCACCATTGGTCAAACTTTGGAACCGCTGATGGTGAAGAGAGTTTCAAGCGAACGCAGAATGGCAATCAGCTTTGAACAATTGCAGGCACATTTGCAGCAGCAGCAGCAGCAGCAGCAGCAGCAGCAGCAGCAGCAGCAGCAGCAGCAGCAGCAGCAGCAGCAGCAGCAGCAGCAGCAGCAGCAGCAGCAGCAGCAGCAGCAGCAGCAGCAGCAGCAGCAGCAGCAGCAGCAGCAGCAGCAGCAGCAGCAGCAGCAGCAGCAGCAGCAGCAGCAGCAGCAGCAGCAGCAGCAGCAGCAGCAGCAGCAGCAGCAGCAGCAGCAGCAGCAGAAGCAGTTTCAGAATGCCAGAGGTTGCTCAACATGTATTCTGGTACAAATGTGGTGGCGAATTCGGAAACCAGGGAAGAGCAACACTTCTGCCACACTGGCACTTCAAATTTGATGTGTCCATCAGACCTAAGCATGCGACGGTAGAAATCAACATAAGATAATGCAGATGAATTGGCGCAAAGCTCCAGCGTGGTCCAGAATGCTGCAGAATCACCAGTGCTACCCTGAATCTCAAGCCAGGCACTAAACCAGTACGCAGAGCAAAGCGCCATGTGCCAAACAGGAAAGAAAAGCATTGCAGATGTCATGCGGGGGAGAAGCGGACAGAGAGCTGCGTCATCGCAAAATAGGGAATATGGTGTACTCAGTAGAGTTTCGAGGATGGAGAAGGTGGTCGACAGGAGGAGTGATCCGCAGAAATTGTTGGCTTATCTACGAGATAATGGTAGAAAATTAGAAATGGGTCAGGCACGCCAATCAGCTGAGGCCGAATCACGGTGCGACTCAAAGTTCCCCAGAACCGCCATCCCTAGCATGGGACATCCTGCTAGGCAAATTTATTTTGGAAGACGAAGCTGAGCGGCTACGTGGATCACAACATAAAACGCAAGCAGCACATGAGACACAATGCAGGCCTCCCCGAGAACGGAGACGACCACCATGGTTGCAATTTGATCCCAAAACTAAAACTTATGAACAAAGTCGGGTTCGAACACTACCCTGTCATACTCAATTCGAAAGGGGAGTTACTAAATGGCCACAACAGATGATTGCCCTGCACGTTTTCTGGACACTTGTTGGGCATGTGGTAGACCACAGAGGAAGATAACGCACTCAGTCCGTAATTCGAGACAGGTTTTCGCGCCATCCAGTGCAGTTTACGGAGCCAATGCATCATCGCCGCATGGGTTGTTATGGTGCGGACATGATCGTACATACTGCCAGACAGTGAAGGCCGCTATCAGGGTTGAATCCGTTTAGGCAAGAGATGTGAAGCACCACAGCGACAGACCAGTGAATTAAGAGCATGTGACCTATAACCTTAAATGTTACCTCTTCCTAATACACTCCAGTCTAGCAAGCTTGGAGTTTTGTTTTTCCCGGCTGGTGGGCAGCTCAAAGAGTAGAGGAGATGGCAGCATTATAACAATTTCCTGGCATCCAGAAGCCATGAGGGCGAAACCCAGCAGGGGTCCGCTGAGAGGGGCACCACTGACGGGACCAAGAAGGTCGAAATGCCGGCTTCTGGTGCTTTTCCCTACTAGTCTAAGCCTGCTGACTGAGTGATAAGGATGAATTAGCTGAATTTCTTCTCAGAAGGGTAGAACAGTGGGTCCTCTTCAGCCATTTCCTCAAGGCAGGGTGACAGCCTAGTTGAGACTCCCGCATCTCATGCAAGGACTTGTTCTTCATGACCGTCTGAGCAGCTCGTCGAGTAGTTCGGCCTCACACGTTGTTTATCAGTTCACCTGCGGTTGCGGTGACATTTATATAGGCAGGACAAACCGTCAGTTAGTTCAGAGGTTAACTGAACATTTGCCAGTGGTTGGGACAAGTGATTACACAATAAAATGGGACGAATCTGAGAATTACTCGGAGCACGACATCGTCAATCACCAAGCACCTCATGACAACTCGTCATCACGGGAACCCCGAGACAGCGTTCAAAGTGCTATTACATAACAAAAACCTGATAACGCTGCTAATTAGTGAGGCGTTGTTAATTAAAACTCATTAAGCTGTGCTAAATGCACAGGAAAGCTTCAGGCAATCAATTCGTTTGCCATGGTCTTACCTGTGACATTCTGATTGCAGTTGCTTATTTTTTCCATGTACATAATTATTGTGTGTTGCTGCTCGTATTGTGTCTGCGACTAGCGAACATGCGAAATGTTGACATATCGAGACCTCTGTCTTCCCTCTGCCTTGGTGAAAAGAACTTCTTTTGTAACTTATGATCGAACTTGCTTAGCTGAGCCAAGCCTCAAGGATTTGAGAACACACCAGCCGATTAGCAAGGTAAATCAGCTAATGAAAATATTGATTCTATCTGTGCAAATCCGCTTCTAAGTGGAGCACTTGATCAATTGCTTTGAGAACTTACTTTTCGCACCTTCGAGATCCGATACTGTAATCGGATTGCCAGCGCACTCGTCCATAGTTAACACGGGTCCCTCGAAGTCAGGATTAAGTCGCGGCGACGGAGGGATATGTTTCGGTTCTACGATTGCTCCCATTGCAACGGTGGTAATGCACCGGTCCAGTTGACGTAAAGTTCGCAGTTGGGCCCTCGCCAGTTCAATGTCTCCGACCTGTTTTGCCTGCAAGGCAGCTGCGCGAAATTCCGTTTGCCGCTTTTTTATCTCATTCAAGATCCGTCTGTCACACTCCTCCTCATGTGGAGAAGCGCGAGGACGAATAATCAACTCACGTTCAAGCATCGGTGAGCGTCTGCTGCTGATAGAGGAGACATCTTCCAAGCTCTGTTGAGGAGATTCTACCGGGGTTACAGACTCCATCTGGTTAGGAGTGGGTGGGAGAATAATGGAATGCATGGCAAGTACAACGTCGACTTTGGTACACTATGGAAAACTGAGTCATAAAGACACACAACACAACTAATGTTCAAGTAGTTAGCTAGAAACGGTTGGACACAATCCTGTTTCAAACGGATTTGACGAAATTAAATACCCGTCGGTACGTAGGAACGATGATGTTCAGGCATAGTTGATTGTTTGTACTTACGCGGCCCAACTAAAGACTGCGAAGAAGATAGTTTGGGATGAGTACGGGAAGCAACCTTTGCTTTCAGTTAGCCCTCCTAGATACGAAAGCTGTGTATTATATATACATATATATATACATACATACATACATATATATATATATATATGGTTGGTGGCATCCAGTTTCGGATTTACCTGTCACTGCGACCAGCCTCAGGACGTCTGCGCCTACAGAGGGACCATGGGTGGCTTACGCTGCACCACCCACAGTTCCAACCACACACCCCATATCCAAAGTAAACCCGAAGGAATAAGACCGCTAGGCAGGTGGATGGGAGCCACGTTTCATCAACGGAGCCGGCCCACACTCCTTCACAGGCAAACACAAGCATTCTCTACTTGGGGAATCAAGTGACACAAGGCGGTGGCTGGACCGTAGTCCGCTCCACACTGACTGCATGGAACTACTCTTCGAGCCTAGCACCACCACAAGGACTGTGCACCACGTCCCCTTCAGCAACGACCGACTGTATCCTGGAGCCAGATGGACGAGGTAGTGGGTAATAGACAGGTAGACGCCTTGTTAACATGCACATCTAGGATGTCAAACAACAGCCAATCATTCGAAATGCCGATATCGAATAAAAGAAACACAAATGACGACGTAAATACTCACCAAGTGAGCATCCGGAAGAAATTGGTTAAATGTGAATACGCAATAAGTAAAAAAATGTCCGAAAGCTGCTTAAAAGATACTGCCTACTGCTGGCGATTTACCTAGCGATACGTCACTTCCGGCACACACTTGAAGGCCGCGCTTTCACGGTCTACACTGACCACAAGCCCCTTATATTTGCCTTCAACTCTGCTAGCGACAAATACTCACCACGGGAAACAAGACACCTATACTTTGTCACGCAGTTCACTGCTGATATACGTCATGTCTCAGGTGTCGACAATCCCGTCGCCGACGCTCTCTCCCGCGTCAACCTCATTCTACAGTCTTTGCTGACCGTCGACCTTGCCGCCTTGGCATTGGCTCAGGCTCAGGACGAAGATATACAGCGCACTCTGCAGTCCACTTCGCTGCATGTGCAACGTGTTCCTCTGCAAACCACGGAGAGAACCATTCTCTGTGACACTTCCACAGGTTGTCATAGACCCCTCGTGCCTGTCTCCTTCAGACGCACAGTCTTTGACGCACTGCACTCACTATCACATCCTGGTATCCGTGCATCTTTGAAACCGGTCACCAAACGTTTCGTTTGGCTACGCGTAAACAAAGATGTTCGTACCTGGGCTCGCGCCTGCCTTCAATGCCAACGCTCTAAAGTACATCGTCACACCCGCAGTCCTCTTGGTTCATTTCCTGCCCCAGACTCTCGGTTCTCGCATGTACACTTAGACCTGGTAAGTCCATTGCCTCCGTCACGCGGATTTGTATACATTCTTACATGTGTCGACCGCTTCACCAGATGTCCAGAAGCCATTCCGGTAACAGACTGCACAGCTGAGACTGTTATCCGTGCCTTCTTGGACCGGTGGGTCTTGCACTACGGATGCCCATCCACCATCACAACCGACCGAGGAACGCCTTTCGAATCTTCACAATTCGATACGTTCTGCAACTTTTTAGGCTGTCGCCGCATTCATACCACAGCGTATCACCCAGCAGCCAACGGGTTAGTTGAACGCTTCCATAGACAGCTTAAAGCCTCGTTCTGCGCCTCCTCCGACCCTAGCTGGAGCGAAAACGTTTCGCTTGTACTCTTAGGCATTCGCAGCAGCATCAAAGCTGACTTGCAAGGTGCACCAGAAGAGCTGGTTTACGGCACGCCGCTCAAGTTACCACGAGCATTCATTTCACCTCCCGCATCGTTGGGTATGCCTCCGCCTACTTTGCGTCCTCCCTAGCTCGACGCATGCGTTCACTACGCCCCACCCCGCCCCGTGAACAGAGTAGAAATGTGCAAATGCACAGCGGACTCTCTACCTGCACTCACGTCTTCCTCCGCACCGACGCAGTGCGGCGCCCTCTCCAGCCTCCCTACACTGGCCCTTTCAGATTTCTACAACGGACTCCGAAACATTTTACTTTAGACCAGAATGGTCATCGAACAACGGTGTCCATCGACCGACTCAAAGTGGCTTTCTTTGACGAGCCACCTGCAGCCCATCCTGATGCTCTCCCACAAGCACCCGCACCTGTGGCGACTTCCCGAGCACTGGATAACCCGGATCCCTCCGTGCCCCTTGACCCGCAACCTATCCCGCCGCAACCCCAGGCAACCGACCGAGGCGGTAGAGAGGTCAAACTTCCGGTCCGTTTTTCCGATTTTGTAAGCGTTTGCTATTCCATTAACACGCCTTTTTCGTCTTTAATGGTTCTCCTGCGTCTCACCCACAAACGTTTTGCAAAATCGACAAAAAAAACCCAAAACATTTTGAAAAACCTAAAAAGCGTATTTGCTTTTATCATACATGCCGTGTTGACGATGCATTGTCTCACTTACATTTCATTTTATGACTTGTTAGCCAGGGGCTACAAAATGCAATCAAACGGTTTCTTGCCAAACGCCTAACCAATGGATTTGTGGATTTATACTTTTGATATGCGAACATCTCCGCTATTCCACAAAAGTCTATGGTGAGTCCACCACAACGCTTTTCACTTTATTATGCAATTGATTTTCGCAATAATTTCCATCCCACGGGACTTGTTAAGCGATGCTTTTGTACCCGTAATAAACCATTGTCCATTGTCCGACGCCAAGCCACTTCCCCGACCCTTGTCCACCCCCTCTGAGTTCTACCTTTCAGAAACGCAACCGCCGGAACTGCCCAGGCAACCCTCGAGTGACTCGCCAACCGGCTCAACGCAACCCTGGCGTGACTCGCCAGCCGTCCTCACCCGAGGAACAGACAGTCGCCCTCGATCGCATACACCCGCGAACGAAATGGTCCCCAAACGCCGCTTAGGCTTTGCCGACGAGGACACCGGATTTCTTCGTGGGACGAGGACGCCCGCATTCCTTCGTGAGACGAGGACCGTGGACTAAAGTGCGGTGGGGGGAGTGACACCTCCCAAGCGCACCGTCGGGTCTGCAGAAATGGGAAGGTCCTGTCGGCCTTTTTTCTGGACTAGCCAGTTTTCTTTGCAGTCCGACCAGCCCGCCCCGACGGCCCACCGATGATGCACTCTGGTCCACACAATCGTCATAAATAAAACTAACAAAAGCCTGGACCCAGCGAAATCTGCTACACCCCACTTTGGAAGCCCTTCTCAAGCCCCTGCAAACATTCGCATCCACCCTCACCTTCCGTTCCCCCACTAACAGCTCCATCGAAGGCTTCCATCCTTCAGCCTTCTAGGGGGAGGCCCTTGTAGTGCAACTGAAAACATGCTCTTTCAGTATCTTATAACATTGCATTTTATGGTTGTTTTAACCTTCGAAACGTCCATTTGTTTAACTGCCTGCACATCCGTTGTCACAAACCGTTTTGGTGAGTACCTCGCTGCACGTTTCTTGCTCTGTCTGATTCGCTTCCTATTCTTGTAGCCTGCACAATATACGTTGGGTACAGTTGCCTCCGACTTCTATACGGTCGTATTTGACACGTCTTAAGTGTCATTGCTTACCGACTAGTATCCCAGGTTCCGCCCAAAAATGGACACGAGCAGCTTGCAAAAGACGGAGACTAAGGTTATGCTTCTGTTATTGAAGCAGATTGTGCGCAGGCCTATTTTGAAGATGGGGACGACTATCGATTCGAGGCAAGATGATGGAACTTCCTGTTTCAACCAAACTTTCGAGAAAAAAAGCAGTGAATTCTCGAACCAGAGAAGCGCCACCATTCTTATATAGAGCTGGAGGAAGCCCATCATGACCGGGACTTTGTAACGCTTCATGTGGCGGAGCTACTTTTCGGGTTCCTGGTAAGATGGATGATCTGTAGGGGTAGACCACTCAGCACCAGTACGCTTGTCATAGGTAGCAGATGGAACTGGGGGACAACAAAACTGCGAGCTAAAATGTTCCGGTCCATCACTTCAGCCGTCGTTGAAGATTGGTGATTAAGGTGCTACCTTCGCATATTGTTTCACTTATACCAGATCGAACATCATCAGTGACACGAATGAGACGGAAAAGTTTTCTGCTATTATCATTGAGACTAGCAAGCTCCATCCCCCTAGCACATTCATACCACCAAGCATCGCGGTCCCTTTACAGACACGTGCGCAACTCTAGACATAGGGATTTGCGTTCTTCACTCTGTCTGGAATTCGACGGGATCAAGCAGCGTTTGTCTGTTAGCGACAAGGCGACGGCGGAAATCCAATGCTTCGTTGGGTGACGGGCAGATCCATAAGTTTCGATAAACTACGGCATCTTTGATCAGCGCCCACTGCGAATCGAGGTCACCGTCAATATTTGAGCCAAACAATGTCGACTGTGAAACTTGGTACCTGGTTAAAACCGCAGGATTTTGTAGATTTGCGACATCCGGTCGGTAGTGAGCGCGATTGGGTGATCCTCCGATACGCATGCAAATCTTATCCCTAACCAATGCGTCATCGGAGTGCAGATAAGTTGGCCACTACAATCGGTATTCCGTTAAGCTTCCGCGTCATCTGTATGTCAGTCTCTGATTTGTAGGTTAGGTTGAGCGAAACTCAAACGATACACAGTGCTAGTTGTTACGATTTTAACTGACTTATTCTGGCATCCTAACTCATCCCAGTAGAACCCCACAAGGCTGATGTACAAGACTATGTGATAAATTTTCCGTTC